CAGATGGCACTGTGTAAGTTCGATCTTGAGAAAGTAGATCACCAGCACGTGAAAGATATTGTTAAAATCTTTGTGTTCATTTATTGATATGTAGCGTCACATATATCAGATAGCCAACGTTACGGCGCCCACACGGGGTCCATTCATCAGGGCGACATAGTGACCATTGTGCCGAACATGCCTATGCAGTGTGTGTTGGTGGAGCCGCATGTAGTCTTTACCAGTGGTGCATGTTACAGGGTGACCACGCAGAAGCACAGTTGAGAGACAGTTGTCACTCTACAACAGACCGCACCTGAACATGGACCTTCATAGAAGGATCTCAAGGTATTTTCAGGAAAGCTGCAGATTTAAAAACAACTTTTGAAATTGCATGAAGGTGTTAAACCTGAGGAGGGCAACCTTGGCACTGCAGCTGTGGAAACTTAAGATGTAAGATGTCCCATGAGACACTGCAAGAGTGATAGGCACAATCCTCTCCCTTTTCCAAGAAACAAATGTTGTTCAGGTAAACGATAACGATGTAATGCTAGGTGATGTTGGTGCCTATGGGCGGTCAGACCATACATGCACACCAGATTACCTTTGGATATCTGAAGGCACCGCATAGTGGGGCAGATGACCATCCCTGGTGATGAAGGTCTTGAAAATATCAATTTCTTTGTACTTCTGGATCCACTGCTGTTGGTCCTGCAATTTACACAAGAAAGTGCCCTGTCAGCACCCTTCCGTGTGGCATCCTTCGATCACAAAATCTAAAAAAAAACTTTGGGCGAACAGTGACTGTTTGGGTATTCTGACATTGTAATAAAATAACCCAGTGTAAGGTTTATCCATCCATGCTCTTTAGTGTGGATGGAGGAATGTGTTTTTTAGTTCAGCTCGCAGGTTGAACGAAAAAATATATCAGCTGCAGTCCTTTTTACTAAAAATTAAAAAAAAATTAAACTAGAAAACAATGGGCCAATTATCAGTGTTTTGTACCCATTTCCCCATTTTACATGGTTTATTGTTGTGTTTTTGTTTCTGTAAAAAAAAAAAAAAAAAAACCTTGTAATTTCGTTCTCTGGCCTTTCACCTTGAAAAAAATGCATATTTTGCATTTTTGTCAGGCGGTGTAAAAAGGGAACGGTCTCTTTCCAGGCCAAGGAAATGTGCTATTAGGTAACAATTCCTGTGGTGACCTGAGTACAGGCCCTGATTGGTTGAATCGTGTGAGCTGACCGCTCTCGAGTCTGCTCTGCTCATGTTTCCCTTGAAAAAGATCAGCTCTGCTCATGAATTTGAGCCGATTAACAATTAAGATTCCTCAGTAGTCCAGGACTCTATTTTGCTTTCTTTTTTTTTCCTCCATATACATTCAAGGCTGCGAGTACTGATAGGGAGTTCTGAGAAATCGTACTGATATTCTTCTGAGAAACTAATCAGGTATCTGATGTGACTCACCAAGGACAAGCCACATAAAGTAAAAGTTATGATATAGAAATCAAAGTTTGGTAGCTTGTTTATCAGAGATCATTTTATCTTTGTGTGCGTTTTATCTATATTGTTATATAATCTGGAGGCAAAACAGTACTTTGTAACCGCTGTACTGAAATCATAACCAGGCAAAAGGGGAACATTCACCATTATCAGTCAGATGGGGAAAGTTGCTCATTTGTCTTTTTTTCAGATTATTATTATTATTATTATTATTATTATATTTTATATATTATTTTTCTGTTTTTCAAAAT